AAATAGACAATGCTGTCGTTTCTGTAACAGTATATTGTATGGATAGACAAGGGGAGGTTTGTCTTACGGTTAATTGTTTGGATAGACAAGGGGACATTTTTGTTACGGTATATGTTCTAGATAGACAAGGGGACGTTTGTGTTACGGTATATGGTTTAAATAGACAAAGAGGTCGTTTCTGTAACGGTATATTGTATGAATAGACAAGGGGAGGTTTGTCTCACGGTTAATGGTTTGGACAGACAAGGGAACATTTGTGTTACGGCATATGTTCTAGATAGACAAGGGGACGTCTGTGTTGCGGTATATGTAAGATAGACAAGGGGAAGTTTGTGTTTCGGTATATGGTTTAAATAGACAATGAGGTCGTTTCTGTAACGGTATATTGTATGGATAGACAAGGGGAGGTTTGTCTTACGGTTAATGGTTTGGATAGACAAGGGAACATTTGTGTAACGGTATATGTTTTAGATAGACAAGGGGACGTTTGAGTTGCGGTATATGCTAGATAGACAAGGGGAAGTTTGTGTTACGGTATATGGTCTAGATAGACAAGGGGACGTTTGTGTCACGGTATATGGTTTAAATAGACAATGAGGAGGTTTGTGTAACGGTATATGGTATGGATAGACAAGGGGGACGTTTGTGTTACGGTATATGATCTTAATAGACAAGAGGGACGTTTGTGTTACGGTATATTGTCTAGTTAGACAAGGGGTGGTTTTTGTTACGGTATATGATCTAGATAGACAAGGGGAACATTTGTGTTACGGTATATGATCTAGATAGACAAAGGAAATGTTTGTGTTACGGTATATGGTCTGGATGGACAAGGCGGAATGTTGTAACGGTATATGGTCTAAATAGAGCAGGGGTGGGTTGTATTACAGTATATGGTGTAGATAGACAAGGAGGAGGTTTGTTTTAAGGTACATGATGTAGATAGACAAGGGGGACGTTTGAGTTACGGTCAATCGTCTGGATAGACAAGGGGGAGTTTTGTTTTACTGTATATGGTCTAGATAGACAACGGGGACATTTGTGTTAAGGTATATGATCTAAATAGACAAGGGGGAGGTTTGTCTTACGGTATATGGTCTAGATAGACAACGGGGACATTTGTGTTACGGTATATGGTGTAGATAGACAAGTAGGAGGTTTGTGGTACTGTATTTGATCTGGATAAACAAGGATATGGTTTGTGTTGCGGTATATAGTCGAGATAGACAAGGAGAGGTTTGTGTTACGGTGTATAGTCTGGATAGATAAGATGGACGTTTTTGTTACGGTTTATGGTCTAGAAAGACAAAGAAGAGGTTTGTGTGACGTTATATGATCTGGATAGAGAAGGAGGAGGTTAATGTTACGGTATATGGTCTGGATAGACAAGGCGGAATGTTGTCACGGTATATGGTCTAAATAGAGCAGGGGGGACGGGGTTGTATTACGGTATATGGTGTGGATAGACAAGGAGGAGGTTTGTTTTAAGGTACATGATGTAGATAGACAAGGGGACGTTTGAGTAACGGTCAATCGTCTGGATAGACAAGGAGGAGGTTTGTTTTACTGTATATGGTCTAGATAGACAATGGAGACATTTGTATTAAAGTATATAATCTAATAGACAAGGGGAGGTTTGTGTTACGGTATATGGTCTAGATAGACAACGGGGACATTTGTGTTAAGGTATATAATCTAAATAGACAAGGAGAAGGTTTGTGTTACTGTATTTGATCTGGATAAACAAGGATATGGTTTGTGTCGCGGTATATAGTCGAGATAGACAAGGAGAGGTTTGTGTTACGGTGTATGGTCTGGATAGATAAGAAGGACGTTTTTGTTACGGTTTATGGTCTAGAAAGACAAGGAAGAGGTTTGTGTGATGTTATTTGATCTGGATAGACAAACGGGAAGTTTGTGTTACAGTATGTGGTCTAGATAGACAAGGGGGAGGTTTGTGTTACGGTGTATAGTCTAGATGGACAAAGAAGACGTTTGTGTTACGGTATATGGTCTAGGTATACAAGGGGAACGTTTGTGTTACGGTATATGGTCTACATAGACAAGGGGTAAGTTTGTGTTACGGTATATGGTCGATATAGACAAGGGAGAGGGTTGTGGTATGGTATATAGTCTGGATAGATAAGAGGGACGTTTTTGTTACGGTATATGGTATAGAAAGACAAGGAAGAGTTTTGTGTGAAGTTATATGATCTGGATAGACAAGGAGGAGATTTATGTTACGGTATATTGTTTAAATAGACAAGGGGGGGGGGGGGGGGCGTTTGTTTTAAGATATATGGTCTGGATAGACAAGGAGGAGGTTTGTGCTACGGTTTATGGTTTAAATAGACAATGAGGAGGTTTGTGTAACGGTATATGGTCTAGATAGACAAGGGGAGGTTTGTGTTACGGTGTATGGTCTAGATGGACAAAAAAGACGTTTGTATTACGGTTTATGGTCTAGGTAGACACGGGGGACGTTTGTGTTGCGTTATATGATCTAGATAGACAAGGGGGAGGGGGTTGTGTTACGGTATATGGTCGATATAGACATGGGGGAGGTTTGTTTTATGGTATATGGTCTGGATAGATAAGAGGGACGTTTTTGTAAGAGTATATGGTCTAGAAAGACAAGGAAGAGGTTTGTGTTACGGTATATGATCTGGATAGAGAAGGAGGAGGTTTGTGTTACGGTATATGGTCTAGATAGACAAGAGGAACGTTTGTGTTACGGTGTATGCTCTAGATAGACAAGGGGGAGGTTTGTGTTACATTATGTATTTTCTAGATAGACAAAGGGAGGTTTGTGTTACGGTATATGGTCTAGAAAGTCAAGAAGGAGGTTTGTGTTACGGTATATAGTGTAGATAGACAACGGGGACGTTTGTGTTACGGTATATGGTCTAGACAGAGAAGGAGGAGGTTTGTGTTACGGTATATGGTGTAGATAGACAAGGTGTGGACATATATTTGTTCCGCATAATATTTGTTTCCCCTGGAACAAAACTATAAATAATAAAGTTCTTTGGAACAAACATTACATAATACTATTTCCACCTTAATAAGCTATTTCCCTGGAACTAAAACGTCATATGGTTTCATAATATTTGTTCCTTTAAAGAAAGAGTGTCATTTGATTTTTTTTACACCTGATTACATCTAAACGGATGTTCACCTCACATGACATTTACCTGTACATGTAGTACATACAAAGAATGGAGTCTGAAGAATACAACAAAAATTGTACATATTTAAACGATGGCTCTTATTCTAAACAAGGTAAGAATATATATTTTTAATATTTTATTACATCATGCTCCACTGTGACTCACTAAACTAAATGGTCCGTTAGTCTGTACCAATGCAGAAAGTTTAGCTTATACTTTAGTCAAGCATGAAGCTAGCCACAAATTTCAGATGAAAATGCCTGGATGTTTTTGTCACGATATATGGTCTAGATAGACAGGTAGGACGTTTGTGTTACGGTATTTGGTCTGGATAGAATAGGGGGAAGTTTGTGTTAATGTATATGGTCTATATAGACAAGGAGGAAGTTTTGTGTTCCGGTATATCGTCTGGATAGAAAAAGGGGACGTTTGTGTTACGGTATATGGTCTGAATAGAAAAGGACGAGGTTTGTGTTACGGTATATGATCTAGATAGACAAGAGAGAAGTTTGTGTTACAGTATAGGGTCTAGATAGACAAGAGGGACGTTTGTTTTACGGTTTATGGTCGATATAGACAAGGAAGAGGTTTGTGTTACGGTATATGGTCTGGATAGATAATAGGGACGTTTTTGTTACAGTAAATGGTCTAGAAAGACAAGGGGGAGGTTTGTGTTACGGTATATGATCTGGATACACAAGGAAGAGGTTTGTGTTACGGTATATGGTCTAGATAGACAACGGGGACGTTTGTGTTATGGTGTATGGTCTAAATAGACAAGGGGGACGTTTGTGTTACATTACGTATTGTCTAGATAGACAAGGGGAGGTTTGTGTTACATTATGTATTGTCTAGATAGACAAGGGGAGGTTTGTGTTACGGTATATGGACTAGACAGTCACAGAGGAGGTTTGTGTTACGGTATATAGTCTAGACAGACAAGGAGGAGGTTTGTGTTACGATATATGGTGTAGATTGACAAGGTGTGAACATATATATGTTCCGCATAATATTTGTTCCCCCTGGAACAAAACTATGGATAATAAAGTTCTTGGCAACAAACATTACATAATACTATTTCCACCTTAATAAGATATTTTCCTGGAACTAAAACGTCATATGGTTTCATAATATTTGTTCCTTTAAAGAAAGAGTGTCGTTTGATATTTTACACCTGATTACATCTAAACTGATGTTCACCTCACATGACATTTACCTGTACATGTAGTACATACAAAGAATGGAGTCTGAAGAATACAACAAAAATTGTACAATATTTAAACGATGGCTCTTATTCTTAACAAGGTAAGAATATATATTTTTGATATTTTATTACTGCATGCTCCAGTGTGACTCACTAAACTAAATGGTCCGTTAGTCTGTACCAATGCAGAAAGTTTAGCTTATACTTTAGTCAAGCATGAAGTTAGCCACAAATTTCAGATGAAAATGCCTGTACTTTATTATTGGAAATTGACTTCCATACATTTGTAGCTAGAAATAATTTTGGATATTGTAGTATATATTCCTAGAACTTTGATCATATAATAAATATTTCTAGAACTTTAATTATCTAATAACCATGATAACTATTCCTAAAACATTTATAATATAACAAATATTCTTAGAACTTTTAAATATAACAAATATTCCTGGTACCTTTTATAATATAACAAATTCTCCTGGAACTTTTATAATATAACAAATATTCCTGGAACTTTTATAATATAAAACATTGTCCATAATATTTATTCCAAAGAACTTTAAGCATATAACAAAAGTTCAATTGGGAACTTTCCTTATTTAATATTTTATTCTTTGTGAGGGAAATTTTCTTATGGCATTGGATAAAATATTATATAAGGAAAGTTCCCAATGGAACTTTTGTTATATGCTAAAAGCTCTTTGGAACAAATATTATGGGGGAACTTATATTCTGTCACAGTTTGTGTTACGGTATATGGTCTAGAGAGACAAGGAAGAGGTTTGTGTTACGATTTATGGTCTAGATAGACACGGGGGACGTTTGTGTCACAGTATATGGTCTGGATAGACAAGGGGGAGGTTTGTGTTGCGGTATATGAACTGGATAGACAACGGTGAGGTTTGTGTTACGGTATATGGTCTGGATAGACAAGGGTAACGTTTGTATTACGTTTTACGGTATATGGTCTAGATAGACAAAGGGGACATTCTTGTTACGGTATATGGTCTAGATAGACAAGGAGGATATTCGTGTTACGGTATATGGTCTGGATAGACAAGGGGGAGGTTTGTGTTACGGTATATGGTCTGGGTAGACAAGGGTGATGTTTGTATTACTTTTTACGGTATATGGTCTAGATAGACAAAGGGGACATTCTTGTTACGGTATATGGTCTAGATAGACAAGGGGGATATTTGTGTTACGGTATATGGTCTGGATAGACAAGGGGGAGGTTTGTGTTACGGTATATGGTCTGGATAGACAAAGGGGAGGTTTGTGTTACGGTATATGGTCTGGATAGACAAGGGGGACGTTTGTGTTACGGTATATGGTCTAAATAGACGAGGAAGAGGGTTGTGTTACGGTATATGGTCTGGATAGACAAAGGGGAGGTTTGTGTTACATTATGTATTTTCTAGATAGATAAAGGGAGGTTTGTGTTACGGTATATGATCTAGACAGTCAGGAAGGAGGTTTGTGGTACGGTATATAGTGTAGATAGACAACGGGGACGTTTGTGTTACGGTATATGGTCTAGATAGACAAGGGGAGGTTTGTGTTACGGTATATGGTCTGGATAGACAAGGGGGACGTTTGTGTTACGGTATATGGTGTAGATAGACAAGGAGGAGGTTTGTGTTACGGTATATGGTATCGAAAGACAAGGAGGAGGTTTATGTTACGGTATATGGTCTAGCAAGACAAGGGGGAGGTTTTTGTTACGGTATATGGCTAGATAGACAAGGGGGCGTTTGTGTTACGGTATATGGTCTGGATAAACAAGGGGAACGTTTCGTTACGGTATATGGTCAAGATAGACATGGATAAGGTTTGTGTCACGGTATATGGTCTAGATAGACAAGGAGGAGGTTTATGTTACGGTATATGGTCTAGCTAGACAAGGGGGAGGTTTGAGTTACGGTATATGGTGTAGATAGACAAGGAGGTTTATGTTACGGTATATGGTGTAGATAGACAAGGAGGATGTTTGTGTAATGGTATATGGTGTAGATAGACAAAGAGGTTTGAGTTATGTTATATGGTGTAGATAGACATATAGGAGGTTTGTGTTACGGTATATGGTCTGGATAGACAAGCGGGAGGTTTGTGTTACGGTATATGGTCTGGATAGACAAGGGGGACGTTTGTGTTACGGTATATGATCTAGCTAGACAAGGGGGAGGTTTGTGTTATGGTTTATGATGTAGATGGACAAGGAAGTTTGTGTTACGGTATATGGTGTAGATAGACAAGGAGGATGTTTGTGTAATGGTATATGGTGTAGAAAGACAAGGCGGAGGTTTGTGTTACGGTATATGGTGTAGATAGACAAGGAGGTTTGTGTTACGATATATGGTGTAGATAGACAAGGAGGAGGTTTGTGTTTCGGTATATAGACTATAGTCTAGATAAAACAAAGAGGAGGTTTGTGTTACGGTATACGGTCTGATAGACAAGGGGGAGGTTTGAGTAACGGTATATGGTGTAGATAGACAAGGAAGTTTGTGTTACGGTATATGGTGTAGATAGACAAGGAAGTTTGTGTTACGGTATATGTTGTAGATAGACAAATAGGATGTTTATGTAATGGTATATGGTGTAGATAGACAAGGCGGAGGTTTGTGTTACGGTATAAAGTGTAGATAGACAAGGAGGTTTGAGTTACGGTATATGGTGTAGATAGACAAGGAGGTTTGAGTTACGGTATATGGTGTAGATAGACAAGGAGGATGTTTGTGTTTCGGTATATGGTGTAGATAGACAAGGCGGAGGTTTGTGTTACGGTATAAGGTGTAGATAGACAAGGAAGTTTGTGTTACGATATATGGTGTACATAGACAAGGAGGATGTTTTTGTAATGGTATATGGTGTGGATAGACAAGGAAGAGGTTTTAGGTACGGTTTATGGTCTAGATAGACAAGGGGGACGTTTGTGTTACGATATGTGGTCTAGATAGACAAGGAGGAGGTTTGTGTTACGGTATATGGTCTAGATAGACAATGAGGAGGTTTGTGTAACGATATATGGTATGGATAGACAAGGGGGAGGTTTGTGTTACGGTATATGGTCTGGATAGACAAGAGGGACGTTTGTGTTACTGTATATTGTCTAGATAGGCAAGAGGAGGTTTGTGTTACGGTATATGGTCTGGATAGACAAGGGGGACGTTTGTGTTACGGTATATGGTCTAGATAGACAAGGGGAGGTTTGTGTTACGGTATATGGTCTGGATAGACAAGGGGGACGTTTGTGTTGCATTATATATTGTCTAGATAGACAAGGTGACGTTTGTGTTACGGTATATGGTGTAGATAGACAAGGGGAGGTTTGTGTTACGGTATATGGTCTGGATAGACAAGGGGGACGTTTGTGTTACGGTATATGGTGTAGATAGACAAGGAGGAGGTTTGTGTTACGGTATATGGTGTCGAAAGACAAGGAGGAGGTTTATGTTACGGGATATGGTCTAGCAAGACAAGGGGGAGGTTTTTGTTACGGTATATGGCTCGATAGACAAGGGGGACGTTTGTGTTACGGTATATGGTCTGGATAGACAAGGGGAACGTTTGCGTTACGGTATATGGTCTAGATAGACATGGGGGAGGTTTGTGTTACGGTATATGGTCTAGATAGACATGGGGGAGGTTTGTGTTACGGTATATGGTCTAGATAGACAAGGGGGAGGTTTGTGTTACGGTATATGATCTGGATAGACAAAGGGGAGGTTTATGTTACGGTATATGATCTAGATAAACAAGGGTGACGTTTGTGTGCACGTAAATCTGGTTTGTTTAACCCAAAACATGTTGTGCCTGTTCCAAGTCAGGCTATATGAACCATGTATTCTTCGTAGTTGTTGTCTTTTTTTCCGGAGGAATCGTTTATATGGGGTTTGTCCGAACTGTTGTACTGTCCTTATTTTGGTAATTACAGCTAACTTTTTATATATCTAATTTAATTGTTATATAACGTTTATTTTGTCAATAACACTACCAAATTTTGACATAAATCAACCGTGTTTTCCAAAAAAATATTTTATTTTACAAATATACATTAACGATTAACAATGTAACCAACAGCGTGACATATGAAATATATCACGTTAAAATGTGACTCTTCAGAAAAAGTATGCATAATAAACAAAACTTCCTACATATGTTAATGACTCCAGCCATTGGTGCTGATGACAATTTCTATTAAGATGCATATAAAAATTATAGTTTATAAAATAAGCACATTACCACGATGTATTTACTGTGACACTCAAGTCGGTAAGACCAGTCAGCAATTGCAACACATGAATATATACAAAAAATTAATTATATTAATTATACTACTAGTAATTATATTTTTTTTTAACTTTTATCATCTTATTGAAATGTACATTGTGTTTGGTTCTTTTTAAAACAAACCATCAATCACTGTGTATCTAATTTATTGAGATATATACTTTTGTAGCTTTTTCATATGTATTTCATATATGTTTAATGTCTTTTTACCAACACACATTAGTTCTGTTGATATAAAAAGGAGACAGAATTCTGTAAGTATAGTAGTCAATATCCCTTGTATCTTCTATAACTACAATAGATTAAATACCATGTAAAAATGTCATAATCCGTATATCAGTGCACGTTTCTCAAATACGCTTGGTTCTAATAGTTTTAAATCATTCTGTGAATCTCTGTGCTTTAATTACGCCATTAGTGCGGGTTTTTTTTTCAGGGCTTAACATGTATTTGTGATATAAATTGCATTTTTTCTTTTGATGTTTTAATGAAATAATTTCTTTAAAAGTGTTGTGAGAGAAAACCATGGTCCATTATCTGCAATTTAATGTTGTACCATACTTTGATAACTACATATGAAACACAAGTAGAATGTAAGAGGGAATAGGCGGAGCGTATCTATGGTACAATATGTTCCTTTTGATGTTATTCCATTGCTGAAGCTCCACCCCATTTTCTGAAAGATATTCGCCTCTTAACTATTTAGTAACTATTTAAAAGGAGGTTTGTGTTAAAAAAAACCATTTGTAATATTTTTGCTGTCTTTAGTGTTTGGTAATAATCCTTATAATTGTGTTTTGCCGCTTCTAAAGAATTTGTATAAAAATGATTTTAAGTAAGAACCATTAATCAAACCCACAAAAAATAAGGAAAACATCTGTTTTTCAAATAATGCATAAATGTAGTTATAATTTCTGTTTTTAAAGTTTTGTTATGATCAAAAAAAGGGTTGCTGACTTATTCATGACTTGGTACAAATACCAAAATACAGACATAGTAGGTTAGTTACTTCGGTACTGACATGGTTTCTGACAAATTATCTAAAATTGCTCATTTATAAATTATGAAATTATACAGAAACTAAGGTTCCAACTCCCTCAGGCAAAGTTGGCCTTAGATGGATTTGGCTATTTTTTAGGTCATTTTTGGTTTATAGCACTTCAACGTTTTCGGTCCTTATACATCCTTGGCTTTCAAATATTCGGCTTTGAGCGTTCCTGATGAAGATAAATTCCGAAAAGTGCATCGGACGCATGAAATTGATAGCGTTTTTTTCATTTTTTACAGCACTGAGTCGATACTCCTGCTGGTGGACTATCAGTCCCCGAGGGTATCATCAGCTCAGTAGTCAGTACTTTGGTACTGACATGATTTCTGACAAACTATCTAAAATTGCTCGTTTATAAATTATGAAATTATATAAAAACTAAGGTTCCAACTCCCTCAGGCAATTAGGCCTTAGATGGATTTGGCTATTTTTAATGTCCTTTTTGGTTTATAGCTCTTCAACGTTTTTGGTACTTATACATCCTTAGCTTTCAAATATTCGGCTTTGAGCGTTCCTGATGAAGGTTAATCCAGAAAAGCGCTTCGGACGCATGAAATTGATAGCGTGTTTTCATTTTTTTAATGTGACAATATTTGGGATCCAGCAGCCAAAACTGTGTAAACATATATCACAGACATACAACACAATTGACTAAACAATTCAAACATACATACATTTTAATCGAAGTGAGATTGATACATACAGTTTTAAACCGCTTTCATTAACAGACTTATTGTCCTATGAGCAAGCATATATCGTTTTTATAGGACAAAATCTTGACGTGATTCTAGATAAGCATTGTACATTATTTATATTACATGAACGCCTTTTTAGCTGATTAGCCACAAAAAGATATAAAATGCACATTTAGTGTTCGAATTACCATGTTTTATTTACAGTTTCATTTAATGTGTTTTACAAAAAATCTGTGCAAAGCAAATTGGGTAAACAGTAACGCAATGTTTACACAAAAATCTTTTATGTAAAAAAAATTATTACAAGACTTGATTACTGTACGTTTTGTTGCTTTTATATTTTGTTTATTTGTACAGTTCGTTGGAATGTTTTGTACTTTTTCGTGGTTTAAATGTATTCAAAGTAGAGTAAAATGGTAGAAATGTATATTTTACTGTTTATAACAGAAAAAGCAAGCCCTTCAATATTGTATGAATTGGAAGATATATATTTCATGTGCATAAAAACCTTTGGTGAAGTATGCATCGGGTGCAATTTGAGTAAATGATATAACAATTATTCCATTTATACACTACTTACCTAGTCATTCAAAGACCTATCGTTCCCATAGTTCAACTGCAATGTTAAAATATAACATAATAAAAAAGTACAATTAAACGATAATGAGTATGTCTGATCACCGATCAATTATAAAAGAATTGTTCAGCTTATCAGTATTACAAAATGTCATATTGATTTGTCATTTTAACTGAATAGAAGATGTCATTAAACTGACCGATAGAAGCATAAACATATAAAGTACTTCCAAATCAAACAAAGAGTAAAATTAATCTTTAATCATATTTTTTATAGAAAATAAATTATCATCTGGATGTCAAAAAGCCCTTCTTCAAGCAAGGTGTTCAAGTTTAAGTTATTAATTCTTATGTTCCACAGTTATTTTAAAATTGGGAGTATGAATGGATATAATTAAGCAGCAGGAAAGCGCCTGCATTAAAGCATTCAATTCGTGTGCATAAATGCATTTCATATAACAAGATAAAGAAATGAATAACAATGACTGTGTTGAAAAAATGTAACTTAGGTTATTGTATCAGCGTGCATGGATTTAAAAATCACAGTGCAATCAAAATGAGACACGATTTCAATTACCAAAAACAAAGAATAAAAACACATGATGATGCAAGTGACCAACCAAAACATGTGTATGCACTTCTTTTAAGTGGACTTAAACTCGTTCATTAAAGTAGTTAAAATTTGATTTTATCAAAGCAGCAAGAATAGATGAAGAAAACTAAATGGATATAGAGTCTGTTACCATAAAAGTTGTATGTTTAATTATATTAATATTAAAATTAATATGTCAAAATTTGCAGTCGAAATAGATTAACAAAAGCCATAATTTTTTATAGTTTGAGTATACAATACTGTTGTTTGAATGTCCAATGGAAATCTCAAAACTAGGATTAAAGGCGATTATTCCTGTTTACCTATCATCAACTCTCAATTCTAGAATAAGAAACATGCTCACACATATAAGTCTGTTCTTATTATATGGCGAATTAACAAGAGAGGCTAAAGATACGAAAGGAGTATACAAAATCTTATTCCGTTGTTGTCGTTTGTTGGTATGGTTCATATGTGTTTCTCGTTTCTCGTTTTTTTTTATATAGATTAGACCGTTGATTTTCCTTATTGAATTGTTTTACACTATCATTTTGGGACCCTTTATAGCTTGCTGTTCGGTGTGAGCCAAGGCTCCGTGTTGAAGGCCGTACTTTGACCTATTATTGTTAACTTTTTATACCTTGTGATTTGGATGGATAGTTGTCTCATTGTCACTCATACAACATCTTCTTATTTATATCATAAGTACTCTTTATTTTTTTTTTTGTACGCTAAAGTTTGTCCGGAAGGCACAAAACGTTTATTCCAGGTTGAATGTTATTTGAAATACCGTTTCAATTTTTTTTAACTATTAAAATTCAATATTTATAACTGTTTAAGATGAACCTTTTGCAATGAGCAATGACCATGCTCTCCATTTCATACAATAGAAGATGTAGAAATAACTGCCACTATAAAGCATTCATCAGATTTGAATACATTCAACATTAAGGATACAATACAATTGAGTACTAGTATCATTTACAACGCAAGAGATCTGAAAGTCAATCAAAATTGATCATTGTGATGGAAGAAATAAAATAGGTGAAATTCAATGATATTATCTAAATGTTGATACAAGGTACTTGACCAACATGAAAGTATGTTAAAAGCAACAGAAACATCAAAATCTCAAAAGATGAATTAAGAATTAAACTAATACCGCCAGTCAATGAAAGTTTCCCGAAAGATTCACTGAAATACACTGGTAGGTACAGGAGTAAACAGATAAGATGTAGTGACCTTATAAAAAAAATTTTATTGACCTTGTTCGCTCGAAGGGTATAAACATAACGTGGCTAAACGCAATACATTCTTTTATACCTGATATGCAAGCAATCTCATTTTTTTTAAATGCATTAAAAGTAACATAAAAGCTTTCTTGCTGTCTAATAAATATAACTTTGGTTGGTTATGAGTAATTCATTGCGAATAACATGTTTGGGTGAAGTGACAATTCTTCCAATAGACTTTTTAACTTTGGTTTATTACATACAAAGGAATTATGTTTTCTGGAGAAGTGAAAAAGGGGTGGATACCAAATGAACAATAAAACCCATTAGACAAAAAAAAAAAAAAAATACAAAAACAAAAAAAACACACACACACAGCATGACACAAAGAAAAATATCTTCTTCTACTGTTACCTTGTCTGCTACGTGTGTTTTAAAATCCATATCAGATTGTCAGTTAAATACATACCAAGGTTTATTTTCATGATATCGTCATGAACTTATATGTAATAATTCTTGCTGTATATTAAGCATCAAAATGAAAATGATGATTTCTTAACGTCATTTCAAAACTGAAATTCGACAAGTGAATTAATGGTAAAAAAGTTTTTATTTCCGGATTTCCAAAAGTAATACACTTAGAGCTAGTGTTTGGAGAGCAATTGGTTCCTTTATTGTCATTTTCATATCAATATTAACTTTATAACTTCACTCAAACCAATGATAGACTCCGTTTTGAACTTTCAGTGAAGTGTGAAGTTTCACTCCTCGTTGAAAATCTGTCTGTTACTTAAAGATGAAGTACAGCAATGATAATTCTGTTCTTTTTTTGAAGTGCGGGTAGGGATTTCGTGTCATGAATTGACACACCATATCCGTTCTTGTATATTGTAAAAGAGACGTTATCTGAATTACATTTTAACAAATACAAAAAATAAACTTAACAAGAAATGTAAGAAATGCTCTATGGCAATTTTTACACTTAATAACATGAATAATATGACTGGTTAATCACGGTTAATTCAACAAGCTTAGACTATTGTTTATGTACATTTTTTGTTGTTGTGAAAATGACTACCGGAAAAGTTCTATATTGAAAATTCAATATGTCTGAAGTACTTGGGAAGCGACTTTTCCGCTCTATCTTTATTATATGTAAGAAAATATGTGTTTGAAAGATTATACATGTATCTGGTGTATTTGCAGAAGCAAAGCTAGTAATAAAAGCAAGCATACCTTCATGACTTACTTGGCACCCCACCAATACTGGATGACATATCTGTCCCTCGAACACCGGATACTGGAGATCCTGATCCTACAAAACCCTCTACCCCGGATGTTGCTTCTGCTGTTAATCCTTTGGATCTAAAAACTGTTGAAGACATTTCAGTGCCCTTTCCTGGGAAACTAGACATACTAGATCCAGTTCCTGGAAATACAGCCATTCCAGATGAAGTTTCAGTTGTTTGATCACCAGTCGCTGCAGATATAAAATGTGATCCCGGAGAACTGGTCACTTCAGACCTAACGTCGGTTCCAGGAAAACTGGATGCAACAGACTGCACTTCTGATCCAGACATTGAGAGACTCGCCTTTTGAGATCCAACATCATTTCCCATTCCAGGGAAACTTGATGTTACTTCTGTACCGACTCCAGGAAAACTGGACGTACCTGCTCCAGGAAAGCTGGACGTACCTGCTCCAGGAAAACCGGACGTACCTGCTCCAGGAAATGTATCTGCTTCAGGAAAGCTGGACATACCTGACTCGAGATTTGTATTAGGAAATTCGGAAAATGTTGGTGCTTCTATAGGTTTGGTCATTACTGGAGCTGCCATGTTTCCTATTGAAAAATCAATTAAGGTTTTATACAACGTGACTTATTAAACATTTAAACATATTTAATTTTGCAAAATACAATCTAATTTCAGTAAATTTCTTTAAAAAAAATATGTGTTATTTAAAAGCTGAAGCAGTCACATATAAAGTAATCGGTCGTTTTCAATACTAAGTTATACATACAATAAGTGGAATTAATATTTAAATATTTTATCATGTGATGAACTAAAAGAAATATCGCAGTTGATATAAGATTTAGACATTATACGTATAAGGGTCACTTCTCGTTGCAAACATACAATTGTTTCTCATTTCAAAGCACGTGTTTGTTTGTTTGTTTTGTTTCGTATTTTTCAAATTATGTAAAGATTTAGCTCACTAAATAGTTCAAAATTTGGTGACTATGATGAACGCATCTATCCCATCGAACTTGAGATAAAGGATACAACATATACAGTTAAGTCTGCCTCATATCATGACTTACATCTAGAAATTGACAATAAGGGTCGGTTGAAAACAAAACTTTACGACAATAGAGATGATGTCAGTTTCCCAATTGTGAACTTTCCATTTCTATGTAGCAACATTCCAGCAGCGCCTGCATACGGAGTATATATCTCCCAGTTGATACAGGGCCTGTATTTCCTATCATGATTTCCTTAATAGAGGGTTGTTGCTCAAAAGGAAGCTATTAAACCAATCGTTTCAAGTGGTGAGGTTGAAATCATCCCTTCGTAAGTTTTACGGACGCCGTCACGAGTTGGTTGACCGTTTTGGAATATCCGTTTCACAGATGATAGCCGATATGTTTCTAATGTCGTTACCACAATCCCGTCCCCCTTCTCCCGAATGTGACCTACCGAATTAGACTTATTACCGGGTTTGTACTAACTTGAGCAACACGACGGGTGCCACATGTGGAGCATGATCTGCTAACCCTTCTGGAGCACCTGAGATCACCCCCAGTTTTTGGTGGAGTTCGTGTTGCTCAGTCTTTAGTTTTCTATGTTGTGTTTTGTGTAGTATTGTTTGTCTGTTTGTCTTTGTCTTTTTTAGCCATGGCATTGTCAGTTTATTTTCGACTAATGAGTTTGAATGTCCCTTTGGTATCTTTCGCCTCTCTTGTAGTTTTATTGTAATATTAGGGAGGTATGAACCTAAATTAATTTATTTTTTCTCTTACTTAGATGGAATATTTGTCCTCAAGTTCCTTTGGATAGTCATTTCAGATATTTTGGAGTAAACCAAAAGACTTTGCATATAACCCTCAAGTTTCCAAGAAAGAAAGAGATAAAAGGACCAACATTTGCACGTTCACATTCAACTTATTACTGTGTTCGATTGACTATTCATTCCACCATAATAGGTTATTCAAAATACAAACAAAAGAAAAGAAGCTAAATTTGTTCATCAAATGTACAGAATTTAAAACACATTGTAAAAAATATATGTCACCTTACTTATTAATGGGATTTTCGTGATTCAAAATTAAACAAGTTGATAAAGACTGCTGTGGAAAAAATTCTTTGACGAGAAAGATTTCATTCATCAATGGAAATTATCATTTTTGGGCATAAAAAATAAGCAGGAAAATGGTTATTACTAATAGCTATTATTGTTAGTATCATATCAAATACTATTTCACATATAATGTTAAAATTGGTTGATTTGCAAAAATTCTCACATTCATGATCCACCCCTTGAAGGGGTATTAGCTACGATATATGAAAAAAAAAAATTAAAACAATTTTTTTTTGTTCAATCATTAATGAAAGTGAAATAGTAAAATAATACTTCGCTTTTAGCCGCCAGTTTTGTTTCAATTTTGTCAAAATAATCTAAGAAACATTGAATCCGTATTCGTGTGACCTTCTAAATACACACGAAATGCTGATACATATTATCGAGTCCATGCATCGTACATTGTTTTATTTTAGAATTTGGATATAAGTTTTAGTATGTTAAAAATCAAATATGTGAATTTGACAGCTAATGCCCCTTTTAATAAACAAACAATAGCATGCATACATTTGCTGAGATTTCGGAAAATAATTGATACAGTGCAGAGTGGGCTGGTCAAAAGGAAAGTCAAAATTACACCACGAAAACTGATGACTTATGAGGAAAAAACTCCGTTTTCTGCAACGTTTTTAAATATTGAAGACTGACTTACTATTTCGCTCATCAATAAGATTTTGGAGAATTTGCATCATTTCACCAAGATTATTTTTGTCAGCATTAGTAAGATCAAGGACTGCCATGACAAGTCCATTCCCGCGCTGATATATTCCTGTAAAGCAATATTGTGCAGAAGCAATGCAACCAGTGCAACATTAGTGAAACGGATATATTTACCATATACATTAGGAGCGCGTCTTATGGCATTTTATACCCATGTGGAAACATATTATTACAGAATATATAAATATATGTATATGATTATAAAACGTCTTCTTATACACCTCATGCGTTTGAAAACAATGTAATATTTTCTACAGATGATAAAGGAAGGTTGATGATAACAATGTTAGAAATTAAAGCTAATGCTAGCCAGCAAAAACATGTTTTAACATTTATAGTGTCGGATTAAGGGGAGTTGGTACAGTATATTTAAGACAACGACGTTTTTTCGTACATATAGAAAGACTTCAGAATTTAAAAAAAACACATATTACACAAAACAATCATCATCGTGCTAGTTGCGAGAATCAGGAGAGCTTCTATGCTTTGTATTCTTTTAGAACAAAAATATATTCTTTAAAGTGCTCAATTTGGAAAATGTCATATGCAGTTTAAAAGCAGGCAACAACCCAAAACAAACATTTCTTTGAAGCTTATCTAATGGCAATTCTGAGTTAGGTTTTTAATATTTACTCAATTTTATTTCTGCGATAATAATCATCAACTAAAACAGGAAACAATGGGATAAGCAGTCCCAAATCATAAAAGGACTATTTATAAGACAATAAAGTTTGAATTGAATTAAACATGTACAAAAATGATATAGGCCGGGATCCTAGCCACATTTCTGCTTCGAGTAGAAAGGACCAGGAACGTAAGAATTTATATCCCCACCTTTCAGGGATGATTAAGAATGAGGCTACTACGCATACGCAAGTTCTCAAGCTACTATTCCTGAATCTGTACCCACTCCCCTAATAACTGGAATGATACAAGTATTCAACAAGTTGATTAAAACATCTTACGCTGTATTAAGTATAAAGGCAACGCAAAGCAATCATAAACCGTGCATTTATCAGATGAGTTGTTCGTTTGATTGCATATGTTTGCATGTAAAATGAATAAAATGGATATGTTATAGGATTAAAGTGACTGTTAAAAGAATATATTTATTATTATGCTCTCATTTGGAAATAGAATGGTGAACAGGATTTGTTAAGCTAAGTAAATGATTAAATACTTTCATATTTATAAAATTTACTGGTACATACCTGTTTTTGGTGGTGCAACATCAGCTGAATTTAAACCTACAATTGAAATATCAAGTATATTTGTTTTTATAAACAAATACACATTGCGGGTTTTTGAATAAATAGTGAATACACTGTTGAAAATATGAGAATATCATAATGACAGCGTTCAATCACAATCATCTGCTAAAATCACTTCTACAAATAGGGATTGAATAGACGCCGATGGTACTTCATGGGAGACACATACGCGTTTTGCAAGTAAAATTGATATGAACAAATGATACAAATTTAAAAGAAAAAAGAGACGCCGATACAAAAGTAGCTGGGGGTGCTTAAAATTAAACGCTGCACTTTGATTCAAAGATAACAGAAACAAGGAACTAAAGCTACGTCGATGCTATGAGCTAGCCAATTTGGCAATCGGTTTCAAAACTTATTTATTTTCCCATTTAAGGGCATATAACATGTGAAAAGTTGTTGGTAGATTACTTCAATGATATCGAAATTGGACAGAATTCGGAATTAAGGCATACAAGTATATTCACATATACCATAATTCATTTCTAAAACTTTTGGAGACTGTGTATTGTGGAATTATAGTTAAAAGGTTTTACCTGGAAATGAGGAAACAGCTGAAACAGAAAAATAAAAGATATTTCAGTTTTGTTTTTAATTACGAAACAGATTCTTACCGCTTTAAAACGGATGAATTGTCTTCAAAATAATAACTTAGTGGTTTCATTGATAAGCATTATGTAAGTGAAATGTTCATCAACCTTACTAAATTAATTGCTGGGAATTTTGGATGATTTTTTTTTTCATCTACACTAACAAATGAAGGTAATAATCAAGTCAAGTTGATATATTGACTGTGGTATTATATCTTTATACTTCATGTATTAGACTACATACTGTCTATTTTTTTTCAAAGGAATGACGACGTAGTATTTATTTTACTGAGACATTATGGCGATGTATCCTACCTGGTTTAATTTCTGTAGTTGTTGAACTAGGTTCAACCACTGTAACTTCTACTGTTGATCCGGAATTCACTCTCCTGGAATTTTGACTGGATCCCATCATGTCAGCAGCGGGAACGGGTGGAATACCTTCAGAAAAAGACGATCCTGTTTCAAGGTCAAACGGTGGAAACAGTTCTGCATCAGCAGATGCTGGAATATTGTTTATATCTTTAGCGGGAAATACTGGAGGTGGAGGGGGTATTTCACCTGGTGCTAATCCGGGTTCCTCTCCTTAAATCACATAAAATAACACAAAATTTCAATGATTCATCCATTTTTGGAACTTCTAATCATGATTATGAAAATAACATCAAAACACATTAAAAAATGTATAAAGAATTACAGCTCGTGCATTTTAACTATAGTAAAGGTATAGGACAGAACATCTTGCTGCATTGTTACCATGTTATATTTAATTGATAATTATTTCCTGAAATAACACATGAAATAAAAAATATACTATATTTGGCACTAATCTACGTTAGTAAAATACACATGTAACAACAGACAGTAAAAGTTATTATGTTCAGTTTGAGTACAGAAATCATTTCAATTGGGTTTTTTAAAATTCTTTTGCTTATTGCACACACAAACAATTGAATGGGAAAAAGTCGGATGTTTCTATCTCTGTTTCTGGACGGTACATTTACCAGCAAAAGAGGGACTACGAATCGAAATATTATGCAACTTCGTGCTATCATCAAACATCAACACATATTACATAGGTTATAATTATGATTTTGCTATCTACTAAAACACCAAATGGAAACAACTACCGCTAGTAAATACAAAATGAATCTATCTTATGTGCACACATTTCATACGTATAAATACTTCCTTATACTCTATACCTTAGATATTAAAGCAGGTTTGACATACCACTTTCTTCGGGAAATGTCTACCAAGTCAGGAACATGATAGTTATTTTCCACTCGTTCCGTTGGTTGATAACGTTTGATTTTGTCAGTTTTTATGGAGTTCCCCTTTTTGAATTAACTGCAGCTCGGTATTTTTGTAATACTTTTTTATAATAATTTATTCAAATATCTCTAAAAAGCTCAAAAGATGTTAAACATATATAGGCGTTATTCATATTTGGTAAATATTAAATAACCCTTTGTTTGATATTGACTGATACATGTAAAACATATGACAAAATGGGATTATGAATCATGCATGTACCTTCTACCAACGGTCAAAACAATAGAAACGCCAACAACATAGAGTGTAAGGAAGTTCATATACGGATTGCAATGATTGCACAGCTAAAACTAAAACTAGAATCTACAAGCATTCTATGACTCAGTATACCGTACCATTCACTGTTAACGAAAATAAAACTGGAGATATGGCTTCTGAAGTGACTGAACGAATATTTCCTGCTGCAATATTGTTCAAATTTTGATTGATGATTATATGCATATTGAGACGAATTGGAAATGAAAAAAAATATCGATTGAAAAATAATAGCATACTCTTAAGTTTTATAAATGAATTTCTACGAGGTTTCCAATATTAGATCAACAACTGATAACCGTTTAAAAGTTCAACTACAGTTTTTACAGGGTTTGAGGTGCTTGATCTAAAGTTTTCTGTATAGTGTTTTCTTGATTTCAAAGAAAATTCCAGGATTCCCCTTTTAGAGGGAGGGGGAACACTCCTTTTGGCCAAAAAATTGGTGTTTTAGTGCATTTTTGTTATTTTTGTCACTTTTAGTAACCTTATTATTCAGTTACCCTGAGGCAAATTAATTAAAATACATTTATAGCTAAATTGTTAAAAATAAATATGAGATTTTTTTGTTGTGTTTTGTAGTTTTTGTCTTATTGATGTTTCCCCACACATGCTCTTATATATTGATACGGCGGGTGCATTTCAAAATAAAAATGCGAACAAATCATTATTAAGATGATTGTGGATGTTAAAAGACACACCAAATCTGTCACGTTAATATATCATATTGAAGGATTGGTGCAGTTCATATTGTTAGGTATTCATTAAAAATCATATATAAATAAATAGAAATATGTTTAATGTACATGGGGACTTAAATTAAATGTAACTCCTTAGCGATTTATGTAATGTTATGGATGATATTCTCACAATTGGAATGTTACATGATTTCATGTTATTTTGCGTTGGTATTATATGCAAACTTATGCATACACAAAAACTATAATGCTAATCAAACGATAAGGACACTTTGGAATGAACTGTCTTTAAAGTGTTATTTTCATATTCATTATGCATTCAAAAACATCTAAAATTACTGTAAAGGAAAAAAATGATCTGAAAATCATAAAATTACAAAGATAATGATAAATATAATGTTTATGCAGTAAATGTGAAATACGCTAGATCTGTTACTTTTTGGAATTATACTTCGATGTTAGTCTTTCACCAATACATTTTACTCATGCTGAAAAGGAAAAGAAGTTAATCCTAAATAATATGTACAGATACTATATCGCTATTCAAACGTAAAGGAAAATTTTAAATAAAATGTCTTTAAATTCCTTTACGTTAGTATAATTAGTGGTAATTTAAAACAAACACAACTTCCAGAATATTTATTAGTAAGAACATTTTATATACACAAACTAAAAATATATCATGAAACACATTGATTAGTAATAAAGTGAGGAAATAAAATGCATGTTATTGTTCAAAAAAGGAGAGGTTAATGTTTTGTCACATGATTAAAACCTCCACCTACCACGAATATTTCACATTATTACAAATTTTATCTTTCACCAATCCGCTACGGATGCTTTTTTATTTACCATTTACTGATGAACTAATTGAAGAAACAGCATTGGTTACTCGTGCAGACAGCGATGATTCATTTGGTATTATTTGATTTACTGTTCTACTTTCAGCAAAGGATGTCAAGTCTGTTCCACTTTCAGCAAAGGATGTCAAGTCTGTTCCACTTTCAGCAAAGGATGTCAAGTCTGTTCCACTTTCAGCAAAGGATGTCAAGTCTGTTCCACTTTCAGCAAAGGATGTCAAGTCTGTTCCACTTTCTGAGAATGATGGAAATGTTGGATCAAATGTCATTGGGTCGATATCTGTTATATCTGAAAATTTAATATTTGTTATTCTGGTCTCCGCTGGGACTGTTTCCTCTCTTAGAGACTGTACATTCAAACTATTTGAATCAGAAAATGAAGATCGCACTGGAGTTTCAACAGCTATGACTGAAACAACTTGACTTTCAGTTGTAGGCAACTTTTGTGTCGACAAAGTGTCGATAGTTCCAAACTGTGATACATCTGTAACAGGTGGAATCACAGACAAAACAGGTAGATCACTACCGGAACCGTCTTGTGTAAATGAGGTACTGTCAGTAATGGCACTGTTTGAAGAAGCAGTAGAACTTTTAGTGACTGATGTAATTGCATTGATGTCGTTTGCAATAGATGAACTAAATGAACCGGGCGTACCTTGTGAATCAAATGCATTTCCTGGGAAAACACTTACAGTTGAGTCAATATTGAATGCGTCACCATTAAAAAAACTACCATTGTCCATTGACATGTTTTCGGAAAAGCCTAACAATGAAGCATCCATTTCTGAAATTACTGAAGAGTTCGTTGAAAGTGTTTCATTTGATGTTTTGGTGCTTGTTGAATCAGCAACTAATTCACCTGGAAATATATCAAATGGTGTATCTACTGCAGAAACACTAGAAGCTGGCAAAAAAGAGTTATTTAGAGTACCTGGAAATACAGTTATTTCTGATATTTTCGTGCTTCCAGTAAAACCAGCAGATGAACTTTCTACTGCCATCGTTGAATCAGCATTGGCGTCACCTTGGATGGCTGAAATAGATGAATCTGATATTGTATTTGTAGCATCTAATGTGTCCATTGACAAAATGTTAGGCATGCTTGAAACAGAAGAATCCACCAATGAGTTCGTAGCCACAGTTGAACCAGTTAAGAGAGTATTTGAAGGCACATCATGCGTATTAGAATGCACTGTTGAAGGTCTGTCAAAAGAAAGAATATCAGAAGAAGGTGGTTCAGGAACGTTTATAGGACTGCCATGCTTGGCTTTTGCAGTTTCAACAACAGGAAAAGAAAATTCAGGAGAAACAACTAAGACGGGAGTCTTTTCTTTTTCCAATTTCGATGATGGCACAAGATCAACAACTACAGCAGACATAGAATTATCTGTCTTCTTAGTAATAGTGCCCGTGGAAACGGAATTTACTACGACTAACTTAGAATCAAGGGAAGACATATCATTCATTGTGTCATTTGTTTTATCAAAGTCTATATTAAAAATGGTTGAAGAGTTTATTACGTTAGGTGGAATTTGTTCTTGTTGTTTGAGAGTTGAGGAATTCTGTTGGAAATCCGTTTCAGCTGTCTCTGATATATCATTACTAATCGATTCAAAGGTAACCATTCTAGTTCCAGAAGGCAAACCGACATCTCTTGTGCCCAATTGTCTGATTTTCGGCGAAGTCTTAGCAGATTCCGATAAGTCAACGTCTTTCATTGAGGACGACATAATAGTACTTCCGTCTTGAACTGATTTATTTGTTACATTTAATGTCAAAACTGATTCACCGGAAATAATTGGAGAAATGTGTGAGAAAAATGTAGACTCAGATATTGTATCAGAAAATACAGAGGTTCTATTTGAATCTAGTAATACATCTTCAACCGCCGATGAAACTTGTGAATTACCTTCTTTTGTATTAGTTGACAATAAACCACCTTTCAAAGAAGATGAAAATGTTTCATTTACCTCATTTACAGAAACTGGTTTTTGAAAATCATTACTTCCTTCAAAAGATGCATTCGTAGTTTCTTCTAAAGCAATCAATGACTCGTTTGGTTGCATTGACGAAAATGAAGAGTTGACATGTGCATCTGATATTACCAAACCCAATTGTCCTCTGTGTGATGAGCCATCAAAAGACGAACGAGAATTGTTGGTGAATGTGGTACCCTGATTGCTAAGAGACTTTTCATCTTTAATAGTGGATATTACCAAATTTGCATTCGATGATGACATTGATGTTGCGTTATGAGTGTTGAAGGATGGCAATGCATTTTCCTCAATCAAAACGGTTGAAAACCCCTCTACAAACGAAGTCGTTGGGACATCTTTTAATAATGAATTAGACTTAAATGTTTCAGTCTCCGTACGAGATTGATGGGAAAGTATTGGTGCCTTCTCTATTCTTGTAGAAGACGAGATATCACCATCAGAAAATGAAAGAGAAACATCATTTATTGAATTACCAATTGCCTCTATAGACAGAGATGACGTTCCTGTCTCAATGGAATCACGTAAACCAGCCGTTTGAAACGACGAACCAAGTTTTGCAGAATTAGGCCTTGTAATAGCATTCACGCCGGCAGGTTGGAAATTCGGATCTTGAAAAGAGGTAGACGAATCAACATTGCTTGCCAAGGATGAACGTGAATTCTCCGAAAAGGCTTCTTCAGTTATCCTTGTATCAGAAGATACAGTGAAGTTTGAAGAAGGCGAGACACCCGTCACCGAAGAAGTTAGATCTCTGGATAAAATTGAAGTATTATTGCCTGAAGTACTCAAAGAAACATGTGGTACGACAGGTGGGGGCACAAAAGCAGATGTGATAGGGTTTTCAACGATTATAGTAACTGTGTTTGAATTTACACCATTCCTACCTGGAAAGACGGGGAGGTCGGATGTCCTACTCGAGGCTGCTGGATCAGCTCCTGCAATGTTCAAAATAGAAAAACATAAGTATGTTTGGTAAGACGACTGGTTACATCAAAAGTATACTATTACTAAAATTTTCAGCATATAGATATTTTTAATTTCTTATATTTTGTGTTTATGTCGTGTCTTTTTTATAAAAATACAATAACATTTACCGTATAAATTGTTTTAGGGTTTAGATTAGACAAACTTCTATTATTTCAAACGAACGATTAAAAATACACAATGAAAGATTAGAGAAAAATCAATTTAAAAAAATTTAAAATCTAATTTTTTATTAAATTCATTAAATAAAAAAGTGAGGGTCACAAAAGCCTAAAGGCAAGTCCATAGTATAATAGCATTATATAAATGTATATTTTATCTGGAACCAATTTTAATTAAAAATTCTTTAAATTTGATTATATTAATGAAATTTCTTTATAAGGGTATATTAATATCTGTATTTGACAAGCAATCTAACAAATTTCATATTAAAAGATCAGGGTAGGATCAGAACACATTTTCGATCTACTTTAAACTTTGATAAAACATGTATGATGACCTGTATGTTGCTATCTAAAAACTGTATATGGACATTATTTTAGAAGATTGACGTTGAAGATTCCTACAATCTATAAGCAACCACAAAAGAAAAGAAAAAAAGATTATCAAATAATCTCATTTTCTGAATTTTATAAACTTTTCAAAATATTTATGGCAGTTAATGATTTTGCTTAAAATAATAGTGTTTTAATTTGCTTACAATGGAAAGGTTAGAGCAAAAATAATATAAAAATGAAATTATAAAGTTAGTTTATTTTGTACATAAAGAATAAAATGATTTTTTTATTAAAACAAATATTAGGTCTTCTCTTAAGATACCTGGAAAGGCCGGTATATCTCCAATAAATTCTGTTGCCGCACTTGTTGAGGATCCGGACGGACTTTCGGCACCTTGAATGAAATCAAATTCGTCATTTTAATAATTTTGATTTAATCGACTTAAGCTTGATTCAAAGCTATATAACGCAATATCATTTGTATTCAAAACATCTTTTTTACAATCTTCAAAAGCCAGTAATAGTTTTTCTTTTATGTTTGATCTGAAATAAATAGAATATGTTTTTCGACCGTATTTCATTACTATGGTTTGACTATCTTATTTTTACTAGCTTATGACAGGATAACATTTATTAACAGTGGGAAAAGATGGATGCAAACATAATATTATGTTTCATATGATTGCTTTACAAGTTTATAGTTGTTTTAAATTTTCTTTCAAATTGTGAAAAAAAAGCATTTTCTATTAATATGTTAATAGTATCAAGGAAAATGAATATGATTCATTCATTTCATTCTCATAATATCAAGCCATTATTTTGACATACAAAGTTATAATTGTTTTAAATTTTCTTTCAAATTGTGAAAAAAAGCATTTTCTATCAATATGTTAATAGTATCAAGAAAAATGAATATGATTCATTCATTTCATTCTCATAATGTCAAGCAATTATGTTGACAAACAAGTTTATAATTGTTTTAAATTTTCTTTCAAATTGTGAAAAAAAGCATTTTCTATTAATATGTTAATAGTATCAAGGAAAATAAATATGATTCATTCATTTCATTCTCATAATGTCAAGCCATTATTTTGACATAAGGTATGTGTAATACCTGGGAAGGCACTAATTTCGCCAGGAAGTTCATTCGTTACAGAAGATCCATCTGTTCCTGGAAACTGATCTACATTTGAAGGTATAATCTGATTTGCACTCATGGCAGCGTTTGTTTGTCCTCCTGGAAAGGCTCTGACGTTAGAAGGCACTGCTCCCCCACCATTTCCCGGAAACGATCCAACACTGGAAGGCATAGCTCTTCCACCACGGCCTGGGAATGCTCCGAAATTGGGAGGCATAGTTCTACTGCCAACTGCACCAGGGAAAGCTGAGTTTACTGGTGGAAAGTTAGGGTTGATCCTATTTGTTTGAGCAGCATTCATTGCATTGTTGTTAATTCTGTTTTGTCTGTTCATTGCTATTTGGTTGGCAGCTGACAAAAAATTAAATTACTATTATAAACCAGTAAGCTTCGAGTAAATGTCGTTTTTCATTTCTCATTAACTTAGATTGTCGACTATCCAAAATCCTCTTTATCTGTACAATTACCAATAATATTTTTTTTTCGATAAATTATGTTATTATGATAATTAATCAAATAAAATTTAATCTGATTTTTTTAGTATATTTCTTTTACCATTTTCTCATTTCAAAACAATTTTAGCATAAATATTTATCATTTCAAAATGGTGCTTGTCATTTTAAACATGGTAGCTTACCGGAATTTGGTGTTGGGAAAGGTCTTTGTCTACTACCAAACGTCATTAAGTTAGCTATATCATTAAAAAGAATATATACAAGAATTAGTAAGTTTAAACATATATTTAATTGCAAGAACAAAAAAGTAACAACAACACACCTACGTTTACTGGTGGTTATTGTTAGAAGATAAAGTTGTGATAGAGCTATAGAGAATTGTCAGATTTTTTATGAAAATTAACCATTTTTGTGACATCCTCAAAGTATTTTACTTAAAACAGGTTTGTCAGCAGTTACAACATATCTAAATTACTTCCTATAACATTTGCTTGGGTGAATATCTCTCCATATGCTTTCAAAATTACATTTTCCAAATACATAAATACATATTGTTCAATCCAAATCCGTAGAAAACATATAAGTATTAAGAAATTAAACATGTTTCATCAGCTTAATTGAGTATACAATTATTTGCGATAAAATAAAGTCTGTAAATTCACAATATCCATCATGTATTAACAGAAAATAGATTTGGTGGAATTATTGTTCCAGTAAAGTTGATACTATTCCAGGTTAGTAAATGGTTGAGTGCTGACAAACATGTTTACCCCGCCTCGTTCTTAATATGTCTGTCCCAAGTCAGGAGCTTGAAATTCAGTGGTTGTCGTTGGTAGCTGTTTCTCTATTTGTGTTTTCGTCTATTGTTTTTTTATGCATTAATCAGGCCGTTGATTATATCCTTTCATTTGTTTCATATTTTGTCAGGCCGTGGTCTTTTGTAACTTTCTTAACGTATTGGTTTTGTTCATTGTTGACCTATAGTTATTTACTTTCTCAACCTTTGCTCTCTAGTTGATAATTGTCTATTGGCAATCATACCACATCTCCTTTTTTTCTCTGTATGTTATATCACGAATTGGTTGAGTGATACGATATGTCGGTGTCTCAACTCACTAGCGACGTGTTTTCACCGTCTTCGATCTTTAGATACCAGTAATTTACTCTCAGTTAACATGTCACAATCGGTAAAATTACTGAATAGACGACTATACTCGTCTGATCTGTATCGATTGTGACATGTTAACTGAGAGTAAATTCGCACGGTGGATGATGCATGCATAGCAGGAGACGCTTACTCTGTCGACCAGTCGGGTCTTGCTCCTGATGAAGTTCATGCGATTGCCTCAGTTTCTTTTTTGTTACATTGATTTGTGAGTTCCTAATCGATTTATGAGATTTGAACATCGGTAAACTAATGTCGCCTTAATTTATATGTTATGTATATATGACATATAATTGAGCATTTTCTGTACCAACAAACTATGTCTTCGCGTGTGTTAATTGCAACGGTATTTTATAAGTATAACTGCTTAAAGATGTTTGTTTTGTTCAGACATCGTTGTCAATATAATGGAATTTTATGCGACTGTCATACAAGTGAGAGGTTTAGCTAGCTATAAAACTAGGTTTAATCCACCATTTTCTACATAAGAAAATGCCTGTACCAAGTCAGGAATATGACAGTTGTTATCCCTTCGTTTGATGTGTTTGAGATTTTGAATTTGCCATTTACTTAGGGACTTTCCGTGTAGAATTTTCCTCGGAGTTCATTATTTTTGTAATGTTACTTTTAACATACTCAAAATGATAAAAAGAAACCAACAATCTATTCCTTTAGATACCACAAACGTAGATATCAATTTGCCCTTTAGTAATTTTATTGGATTAAATCTTTGAAAGGAGAAATGTGGAAAGTAAATTAACATTTTCTTATAACTGTTCTTTTTAGATGAAAACACTTGGTCTTTCATTAAAAGATGAAAAAGAGAAGCTGATTTGATTTTCACTACTCTTGACTTACGTCGTTAACATTACTGTAAATGATGTCGAAACGCACTTGCATTAAGTAAAAGTCCTTTAAATATCCTATTACATAAAGGTTGAATTGTACTTATCTAATACATTGATTTATGCCTCTTGTTAGTAAA